AAACCCTGAACCCTGACCCCCCAAAAGCTGAAACCCTCCAACTTTGTCAGCCCAAGGAAGCTGTTGAAGATACTCGGAGGCTTCCTAAAATTTGGGGTCCTTAATTGGGGTCCTTACAATAAGCTTTGTAGGTTTTTTTGGGATTTATGTTGGGGTCCCCCCCCATTTTGCGAAACTACCACTCTGCATCAGCACGTCAGCTGCAGGCCTTGTGTATCTTGCAGCCATTTTTAAGTCATGTGGGAACTCCGCGGATGTCAGAACGCTGGGACTGCAATAGTTGAACAGTTCTGCTGCCTCCAATTTACAGGGTGTAGCGTTTGCTGGTCCCAAACCCTAAACCCCCTAACCCCCAAAACCTAAACCCCCTAAACCCTAAACCCACGCAGCAAAGTACCAAATTTGCAGATTCCGCCAGGGAAGTTTCTCGCCTTCCGAAGACACCCTTGACTACGCAGCCCGCGCCCCACACGGGGCTACGAAACAGGTTTAAGGTGAAGACACACGCAATTTACTGGGTTGCTGTTGAAGAACTTTTCGTTAATAACTATAACCAGGAAACCCTCTTACTTACTTTACACCCAAAACACAGTGACTGAATTGACTTCCTAGACAGCAACCCCCGTATTAGGGTCTAGAGATTTCGACTTGACTAACCTCATGGTAGCAAGGAACGAACGAATCCTTCTACTAGCCCCCTAAAGAACCTCCAAGAACATAGTAGACAGTAGTTTCCCACCATCCATATTATTTTCCATTCCTTCTTTCCTTGAAGAACCAAAGGTAAATCAATGCCTTACGTCCAAAACATTAGGCCTTTGGTGAACTTGGAATGAAGGAATGGAAAACCTCTGAAGTGGATAGAATATAGCTTTGGGTATATACTATTAAGATCCCCATATACCCAATATTCTATCTACTTAAGATGGACTATAACCAAAGGCCAAACATTAGGCAGCCCAAGTCTCCACATGAGCCTCCTTGTTTGCCAGCATCGACTGAACCACATTGGCATGATCATTCTGAGCGCTCCTTGGCCAATCTTAGAAGCCCGGTGAAAGTCACCTTCCTAAGCCATGGAAGTATGTAGACTACTGGCATGTGTTGCAGCCTTTGGGGCTTTGTGACATTGGTGTTACATGAGCCTGGGATTCCTGACTGTGACTTAACTCCTCGCCGTAAATCCCAGTGCCCAAACACGAAACCCTCATACCTTATGAAATACCATGTTCTGGTGCCTTGGGCTCTGATGCTTGACCAATTGGTACGACATCTCTTGAGGAACTCTGCACATCCCTGTACATATAGTTCCCAACCCCTTGGGTCATCCAACAGTTCTTAAAAAACTAGGACTAAGCTGGCCACGGAAAAAGTATCAGCGTGGTCAGATTAAATTACTTCTAGATGGCCATCACACTGGAGCCGCAAGCTTGCGTTGCACATCCGCTCCTCTGTAACTTCAGTCTTTCCCGTCGAAAATAAATCTGAACCCGTTTTGGACAAGCCTGACAATTAATCTCAAACAGTCCCAGGCGCTCCACAGCCGACTGGCAAAAAACGCCAGTCAATACATTCAACCTAAAAGCTCAGAAAGGGATGCCATGCAGGGCTTCGTCTGGAGGAGCTTCCCCTTTAGAGGGTTTAGGTTTACAGACCAAGGTTTGAATTGGGATGACATTCGTGGCATTAGCGACCCTAGGGCAATGTTGCAGCGTCGCGAAGCACACGCTTCCTTGCCCCCCACCCCCCGACATCTTGTAGTTACTTGGGGCTATGGGCACCCTGCTCCTTGTGGGGTTTGGGCGCCCCCACGTTGCCTGCTCTGGGTGTGGGCGGGTTAGAGGTTCTAGGAACTGAAGGAAATGTGGAAAGCATCTATAGATTTTCAAGATTATGTGGTACAAGGACGACATACATAAGGTACCTATACGGATTTACCAGGATCAACCATAGCTGTGTACATTCGGATAGAAATTGACGACCATTCCTGAAGAGTGTGTTCTTGGGTTTTAGAATGGTAAAAGTATATATAAGCTCCTTCTGGGAAATCGGGAGATGTTCCAATGCAAATCGATCGCTGTCATAGGGATCGTGGACCAAAGTGCTCCATGCTCGCCACTGTTGGCAAGTGTGAGACTCGTAGACTGCAGACATACCCCTGAGAGTAATACATGGGTGGTCTTGGTGGCGTGACGGGAGCCGTGGCGCGTGTATAGTTCTGTGAGTCTGGGACCAGCGAGCCCAGCCCCTTCTCTTGCCGCACATTGATCCCGCAAGGCCATGTTTGGAAGATAGTTGAAAGCCCTCAAAGCCCTGAGAGTGGTAATTGGGTGGCCTTGAATTGGGTTAGTCTGGAGACTAACGCGCGCTCATAAGGCGCGCTTTTGTCTGGCACGCCCTAAACCCTAAACCCTAAGCCCTAAACTTATGGCATTGGACTACTGGAACACCATGATGCCCAAGGTACATCAGGTTGCGAGAGTCATGCAAGACTTCAAACGTCAACCCTAAAATTTCGACCCTGAACCCTACCTCTGATCCTTGGGTCATGCAGGCCTAAACCAAAACCCGAAACCTAAAATCCCAATTGAAATTGCATTAAAGCCCAACTAAAGACCATTGAAATCAAAATAAATTCCATCCAAGACAAACCCTGAGCCCTACAGCCTAAAAAACTGGTTAAGTATCTCCCTAAGCCCTAAACCCTAAGCCCTATAGGCCCTAAACCCTAAAAGACCTCGTTTAGTATTACCCTTAGCCCTGAAGCCTAAGCCCTGAGCCCTAAAGCCTAAAACAACTCGTGTAGTATCATCCGAAGCCCTGAACCCCAAAAAACCTCGATTAGTATCACCCTAAGCCCTAGGCCCTTAACCCTAATCCCTCAAAAACTCGCCTAGTATCAGCCGTTTATGGAACAAAGCGGATTAAGGCTGGCTGGCGCTCGATGCAACCTTTTTGTTTGGAGGATGGTGTGGGCCCATTAAACCCTAAACCCTATCCTCCTCACCCCCTATTATGCCTAGAATGGTTTAGGGTTTAGGGTTGGGGGGTTTAGGGTTTACCATCTTCAGGGTTTAGGAAAAGCCACAAGCCTCGGTAATAGTGAATATTCTCCACATTCTATAATGCTACAGTATTGGGTTTATCAAGATGGGGAGGGGACCAGACGACGGAGGAGCCTCAAGCATTAGAATTGGGCTGTGGGGCGGAGTATACTACGTTTTTTTTTTAAACGAGGTTTTCAAGGGATGGTTTTCTGCCAACTATCCAGCTTCGAACTATGTCTGATTGTTTCTGCCAGAATCTCAAGATTGAGGCGATACTACCTAGTACGTTTGCCTGTGGCCTTGAACGTGATAGGTCTTCCTGGGGGTAAGAATCAGACGAGGCTGACGGGGCTTGCTTACGTAGTACGCTAACCAAAGGCAGGGCACACAGCAAAATACGTGAATTGCACGTAGAAGAGGAAGACGATGACCCAGAGCAGCGAAATGTGCTCCAAGGGCTCAAGCACTTCTTCCCAGCTAACTCCTGCATTTGGGATGATCTCTAAGCGTTGAGGGTCAAGGGTCTAAAGGTTGTGGGGTTGTGTGTTGCAAGCTGCTTCCCACGGTACAAGGGTAGGGCTCAGGTAGGATAATGGGCCCTTGTCAATTTGTAATCTCTGGGGATTAATGGGTGTCCCTGTGACATCATACAGTTGCAGGGTAACTTCCCTCTCCTGGGATGTGCAGATTCAAAACCTAGTGCCCCAAACCCTAAACCCTAAACCCCACACCCTAAGTCCTAAGCCCTAGACCTAGTGAGTATACTTGGCTTCAGCCTAAACCCTAAATCCTAAACCGTAAAACCCGTTTAAGGCTCAGCTTCGCTCCATTGGGATTCTATGCGGGACCTGAAGTAATGGAGGATCAAATGGAAAAGCAACATGAGCAATCTAATGAGAAACTGGGTTGAAATTAGAGGTGTAGAGAGATCTTTTAGGGTTTATAGTCCCCCTTGAGTAGATAGAATATGGGGGTATAGGGCCTCTTTTTATAATATACCCGAAGCCATGTTCTATCTACTTAAGCGGGACTATAGGCCGCAAACCCTAAACCCGAACCGCCTGGTTTAGGGATCATCTTCTGCTATGTTCATGCCTCAGGTCGCTGCGCGCACCCCACTGAAATACTTTACTGATATCTCTATAACCCCCGAGCAGAGGGAATGAGGGTGAACACATTCATATTGAGCTTTCGGTTTAAGCCCAGCTCTTATCGAGAGTCTAGGAGCCTAAAATGGCAGTCATGCAGGCTTCTACATCACGACATCCTTAGACAGATGGATAGAGTTCCAGCTTCCATTTCATTATCCACTTCTTCTGCATCTAATCCTGCAGCCCTGGCAACCATGTAGGTCACCAAAGCCCTAAACCCTTGCATCATTATTTTCCAGAAGCTCCTAGCACGTGGGCTTTGGGCTTCAGGGGTTCTTGCGAGACTCTCATCATGTGCCTTGTACGTTACATCAACCCTATGCTACCCTTTGTAGAAAGTTGTTATACAATAATTGTTACATCGATAAAAATTTTCGACATCGATGCAACAATATTTTACATCGATGAAAAATATTGTGTAACAACCCTACAACAATTACTAGTACTGTTAATGTTGCTCTTGTTACTCTTGTATCACTATGAGTATTGCTACAAGTTCTAGTTGCAGCAAGTGGCCACCGGAGATTGTCATGAAGAGGCTCAGCATGGTTTTGGGCAGAGAAGAGTAGTACCTCAGGGTGTAGGGCACTTGGGGTTTAGGGTTTAGGGTTTTAGGGTTTAGGGTCTGGGGTTTTAGGGTTTAGGGCACTTGGAAGCCCTAAACCACAGGGATTGCTACCCCCTAGTGTACTCGGACCCTAGACACTTAGCCCCCAAAACGACTGGTTTGAGTTTTGAATCTTATTTTAGCTATTGTCCAAACTCCTAGTAGCCCCCTTAATAAGCCCAATAAAGCTCCCCTAAAAACATCCCCTATATAACCCTCTAAAAAGTTTAGACTATATCATATTTGGGGCTAGGGGTGTAAGGTAGGGGGCAGTGCAAGACTCGACAATAATTTTGGACTTGCGATTTATGGAGTTTATACTCCAGAAATGGAGGTTAGGGGTGCCTTTCGAAGGGGTTGAAGAGGGTTGTATGGGGGTATATCGGGGGTTTAGTGTTTAGATTAGGGCTTCGGGTTTCCCACAATTCGGGGTACCTTTTTGGGGTCTTTATAAAAAGGATTACTTATAGTATTTTTGGGTCTATATTGGAGTGCCCTTACTTGGGCAAACTACCAGATCGAGAATCAAGTGGAAAAGACAAAGATGTACAGGGTGAATTCAACGTACAGGTAGTTATTTAGCTACGGGCTTCCGTGTTCAAGGCCGCGTGCTACTCAAAAGGTTTAGAATAGGGTTTAGGGTGGGGCACAAAAGTCCGAAATTGCTTTGCACCCTAAACCCTAAACCCCTAAACACCCTAAACAATTACTTTTCTGTGAGTCCTGCGATTGGCGCTGGAGCTCTGACCCAACTTTCCTTCTGTCCTGTGAACTATGTGGCTCACTGACATACATGACCTAAAATCTAACCTCCACATTCCTTCAAACTTGGGACCCCGGTAGAAACTACAAGTCTTTATAAGTTTCAGCTGGCCCGAGTCTCTACGGGTTTTGTTGCTTGTTTATTCTTTCCTGGGGGGGGGGGTTGGGGTATAGGGTTTAGAGTTTAGGGTTTTGTTTTCAGATTCGATGTTCAGGGAAGGTCGGTGTGCAGTCTCAACACATCCCTGCACGTGCAGTGCCCTTCAAGCTACCACAGAGCTGCGAAACGCGATTTAGGGTTTAGGGGCCAGAGAAACATGGGAACAGACATGTGGCAACACAGGCAGCGGCAAACATAGCCAATAGCCACCAAGGCACCATGGAACCTCATAATATGTCCTATAGGCTAAACTCCAGATATCCTCCTTGGTAACCCCTATAATACTCCCCTATATAGCTCCTTGCAAGACAAACCTTTGAGCTATAAGGCTATAAACTTTATAGGGCCTTTGCGGGCCCACGTTAATCATTTTGTGCGAGCGGTTAAAACTCAACCTGTACAGCTTAGGGTTTGGTGTCGTAGGTATGCGGGTTCATTTCAAATGTCACCTTCCCGCTTGCTGAAGCACAAAAAGAAGCCTTGGGCGATAATTATGGCGAGCCTACTATTCATGCACAGCTTCTGGGTTGCTGTTAAGGAACTTAAATTAAGTTACCATAATGGGTATATATAGTAGTGAATATGGTTCCCCCAATATAGAAACTTAAATTAAGTTCCTTAACAGCAACCCAGGCTTTCTGCACAACCCTGACCTTAAACGCGTGACCTTAGAGGTGGAAATTGCCAGTGCTTTGAGGTACAGCAAAACATGACTGCGGGTCTAGTACTGAGTATTTTCTACACCCGGTGCTATTCAAATCAACAGTTTGGGTCGTGCCTCAAAAGTAACATAGTCAATATTGCCGCGTCTCCACCAAATGTGCTACACTTCTCAAAAACAGCCCTACATGCCTACCAGCCTGTTCGCTGCTTCGAATGCTCGATGAGGCAGTCTCTCGTTGCTGCCACTCAGCCTCTGCTTTTCAAGGAATCAGAGCTTGCGTGCTCGTGTTTAGCAAGGTCAGTGGGTGAGTCTCCAGGTGGTAATACAGTAATAGTGCCATAAGGAAATAGGAGCTATGATAGCCCCTGAACAAGACCTTTTCAGTTTAAGGATGATTACTGTAAGGGGGAATGACCCAACCTAAGCCCTGTAAAGGGTTCAGGTGTAGATGCATGTGCTCAGGCAATGTACCAACCTGCCGCAAAACTCTGCTGAACGAGCGCCACGAAGATTTTTCTTACTCCAGGCCTGGGGGTCCAAAGTTCTAGTCAGAAGGGCCGAGGGTTTAGGGGTTAGGGTAGTAATAGGGTCTCCTGAACCCTCAACCCTTGGGGTTGGTGTTACCAAAAACCGTTAACCCTAAACCCTTCTATTTGAAGGACAAATGCTCTTGGTAGACTTAGGCTCATGGCATCTCTTTGAGCTGCAACCTAAGAAGCGTTGAATTGAGGGAGGAAGAAAAGAAGGATTCGAGTTTAGGGTTGTAGGGTTTAGGGGTTTATGGGTTTAGGGTTTTAGAGGTTGAGGGGTTCAGGGGTTTAGGGGGTCCTATAGTAATAGGAAATAGGGGTATGTATGTAGGACCTTTTGGGTCTATTTGACGGGT